TACTGGGGAAAAAGCGTCCTATATGGAAAAGTCAAGTGTGGAGAGACTGCAGGGTGGGAGATGCGTCCTGAGCTCTAAGTCTGTCTGGGAGCTAGTTTTGTTTGGCGGATCAGGTCTCTCTAGATGTGACCCTCTCCAAGCAGACCCAATGGGGCTGCGGGCATTATCTGAGCCACCTTAAGACTCTGTCATCATTAGACCCAGAGAGGATCACTGCAGGGCCTTGGTGGGTCTGTGCCTCCCTGCACCGTGTCCAGCACTGTGTCCAGGTGATAGTGACATGTCTGAAGTTGCTCTGGGTGCTGTGAGGACCATGGGAGGCAGAACCTCAAGCCTGGCCCACCCTGCCCTAATGTCACTGCTCTAGAAGGAGGTGGAGGAAGCTAGCAGCCCCCCGAGCCGGGAGCAGACTCCCAGGCAAGACCCCAGAGCAAGTCCCAGCCTGGGTGGCCTGCTCTTGGCCCAGGGAAGCTACCCGCAGCAGGCACATGGCTGCAGCCTCCAGCAGGCTGGGATGCACAGGGAGGCGCATGGGGCCAGCGCTCTCAGCACGGCCCTGGGTGGGGCCTGGACTTTCCGTCTGCCTGCCCACCGCCCCTGTCAGCCTCTACCTGCTCTTGGGATGACCCCACTGCTCTGCACAGATGCCTCTGCCCCCAAGGATGCCCTGCCACCCTCATCAGGGCTCCAGCAGCCCCTGGTCCTCTGAGGTGGGCCAGGCAACCCTGGCGGGGCTGAGGTCAGCGTGGGGCCCATTTCCCCGCCTCCTCCTCCTCCTCCGCCCAAGGGCGCCTGTTGTGGTGGGGCCTGGTTAGGAACCAGCAGCTGCTGAGTAAAAGGAACCATCTGTGAGCAAGAGGGGGAGAGGCGGCTGAGAACTTGACAATAGGGAAGGAAATTGCAGGAAATGGGAAGAAACGGCAGATCCGGGACCCATTTTCCAAACTGCAAAATGCTTCTGAATATACATATAATAGATATAATTTACATTCTCTTCCCTATGAAACGCTTCCAGATTATCTTTCCCTTTTTAAATAGGAGACCCGGACCTTCTGTTGGAGCCTTGATCTAGAAGCTTCTAGACTGAGGCAGGAGGTGGCAAGGGGGCTGGGCCACGCAGGCCTGCACCCCGCTCCGGTCACCTTCCTTGTGTCCCTGGACTTGTGGCCATCATGCTCCCCAGGGTGTAAGGTGCCCGGCCTGGGCACCTTCACCAAGCAGGGGGATGTCCGGTGACCTGAACAGACAGGGTACCCCTCAGCCCCACCATGCTGCCTGCCCACCTGGGCTCTCAGCCTTGGTTCCCCTCTGTTGCCGAGGCGGGCTGGCCTGCAGTGTGTGTGGATGGACTGAAATGACCCAACAGCGGCCCCCACCTCCCTCAGTCTGGTTACGGTGACATCAAACCTATGCTCAGGGGACACAGCCAGGGCCTCCTGGGAAGACCCTGTCCCAAGGACTCGATGCAGGGCCCCGGGGGTCCAGGCGGCAGCTCTGCTCACAGATGGTGTTGCCGACCCTCACCCCTCCCGGTCCCACAGATCCCTCGCCCTGTGGACACAGGCAGGGTGCTCCCTGGGGATGGGGCTGCGGCCACGTCTTGGCCCCACGGGTGGCTGCTGGCTGTTGCCGCACAAGCCCAGGGCCCCTTTACCCCTCGGGCCGCAGAGAGGCCCAGTGGTTGAGTGCTGGGCTCTGAGTCCCACGGCCAGACCGGCTGACCTTAGGCAAGCACAGAGACTCGTCTTCTGTGAATGAAAGCCTCACCTGGCCCCGAGAAGGTCCCTCTTGATCCCTGTCACTGTGACAGGGGCCATGGTGCACCCTCCAGATGGAGGCATCCTGCCCCACCGAGCTGGGGTGTGTGTGTGCGGCCCTGCCTTATCCGCCCACTGTTCTTGCGCAGACCTTCCCGTCCGCGTGGGGACGCTGGCCTCCAACCTCTTGCTGTCACAGGAGCCCCGGGAATGCGGCCTCCAGTGTGGCACAGACCGAATGTGCAGTGGCCCTTCCGCCTGCCTGTGGACCGGGTGGGGACCTGCTCAGAGGAGCGACTCTCGTGTAGCCGTCCAGAGGGCCGGGAAGAGCCCCGGGCTCTGACCTCGGCGGCCTGCCTGGACAGCCTGGGGTCAGGTCCCTCTGGGCAGTGGGAACCCAGCGGTGCAAGCTTTCGAGGCAAAGCTTGGTATCCACAGCATCAGCTCCCAGCCCTGGAAGTCCACTTGGGTGGGGTGACCGGAGACCTGGCCCAAACAGCGGGGCGTCTGCAGACGTTTCGGACTCTCCTGGGAAGGTCTCCTCTGAAGGTGTCAGGGGCGCCCTGGGCTGGGAAGGGACCCCTGCTCTGCTTTCCAGAGTGCTGTTGCCATCAGAGGAACTTTGTCTCCTCACTTTGCACCCTTCCCAGTGTATGAATAATAAACACACTGTTGAGTATTTGGGAAATGTTAGAGCGATGTCACAAGCACGTGACCTGGAACGGGGCTGCCACGCCCCCTCTCGTACCAGGTCACGCAGGGTCCTCCCTCTTGCCCGGAGGTGGCTAGGGGACAGATAAGGACAGGGTCCTCCATCCTTACGTGTGGTCCCCCACTCCTGCCTGGGTTCTGGGGAATTGGTCAAAATGCTCCCAGCGCAGTAGAAAATGTCTCACAGCATCAGGAGTGTCAGTTTCTGTGTCAGTGTCTAACTTGTGTCTGTTCTAAGGGTTTTAACCACATCACTGCCAAGCAGAATACTTTTCAAAATATAGCTGGACATGGTGGCGAATACCTATAATTCCAGCACTTGGGAGGCTGAGGCAGGAGGCTCACCATGAGTTTGGGGTCAGGCTGGGCTATGTGGGGAGAACTTGTCTCAAAAAAAAAAAATCAAAACAGAACACACTAGACCCTTAAGCAAACATTTATCCCTTTGTTTTTGTTGATTTGGGGCTATCTCTCAAAAAACCCTATCTGCTCCTATGAGGGAAGTCATCTCCGCCCCCTGGTCTCTGGGCTCTTGTTCATTTTGTCTTCTCCTTTGAGAAAGATTTGATACAAAACACATTATTTTTTCTTTCCTCTGAAAGAATCATCACAAATAATTTTAGTGATGGCACTTTAAAAAGAAATATGATTCCTTGTGAATTTGTTATTAAACAGAAACTGTAATAATTAGCCACTTAAATATACATCTTTACATCTTCAAGTAAGAACGTTTAAGTGTGTCTGACGTGCTGGGAACATTTCCATGTTACTCCAAGCAGTGAAAAGGAGGGTTGCAGGGTTGAGGAAAATGGTTTTCACGCCAAAGTCCTCTTGCAGGGAGCACAGGACTTAGATGTTTTTACTAAGTGCCCTGTAATTTGTTTCAAAAAAGCTAATTCAGTGTTAAAAATAGAGCTCCTTATAAGTTGAAAGAAAAATCTGTTGAAAGAATACTATTTAAACAAATATTTTCTGTTAATGTACAGTGGTTCTATTTATATATAAATTAAAATGTATACAAATGTGTTCATGCATATATATGTATATATTTCCTTCTTTCCAACATATAATCTTTTCTTTAAAACAAAAGTAGGGGAGATAAAATGATTAACCTGTCTCCCAGATCTACACACTTTGGGGCCTGAGGCGGAGCTCAGTGGTAGAGCGCTTGCCTAGGTTAAAAAAAAAAGACCCAGCACAGTGGCGCCTCGGTTCACAAACTTAATTTGTTCTACAGTTTAGGAGAAGATGGCTGGGTTGTGCTTGTCTCCGGTGATATGATCGGGCCGAGACCCACACAGAACCAGACTGGACCTTCTGACGCAAGAGGAGTCTTTACTGGGGGGAGCGACACGGCGGGCTGCCCAGCGGACTAGGACGGCCCTGAGCTGAGCAAAGCGTGGGGTTTTTAAGCTGTCTGTGAGCCAGAAGGGGGTGTCCATGGTCCAGAACAGCCCGAGCGCGGTGGGTTGTTCTTAAGAGTTGAATGTCTGGTTCTGCCAAGGCGGATGAGGGAGGTGGCTTTTGTCGAGTGGAACTGGAGGGGAACAGGTGAAGAGCAAGGAGTTTTTATTAACTCCTTAGTAAAAGAGCTTAAATCTTCCACGGGGGGTGGTGGTGGGGCTTGCCTTGTGACTTATCACCCTGATGCAGAGTTCTCGAACAAAAACAAAACATCGCCAAAGTCTTCTGTTTGGAAACCAAACTGTTTGCAGACAGAAGTGTTCACGAACCGAGGCACTGCTGCATGCTGCAAATCCTGTTTCAGCTACTCCCTGTCCCCCTCTGTCCTAAATACACTAAACTCCAAACACCAAGTCATCTGGCCTAGAGCGCGTGAGCCGCGCCTGGGTGACAGGGGTGTCCCTGGAGCCCCACAGCACCAGCTGTCATGGCTCCCGGCACAGGCTGTGGCCTCCTGGACAGGTCAGGTACAAGGTCCCGCCCGGCTGCCTGAGTCTCCAGGGTGTGTGGAACCTGAATCCTCTTGTCCTGGAAGTTGCAGTTTGGAAGGTGACAGGGCAGGGAGAGAGGCGAGCTCCGTGTGCCCTGGTGTCCCTGCCCCACTCACAGGGAGTGCTGGTGAGCCTGCCTGTGGATGGGGTGACCCACGTCCCATGTGGGCACAAGGGCTCCCGGCCGCAAAGGCCGTGGAGGGAGACAGCAGGCAGCTGAGACCCTGGGGCCGTGGTGCCCCTGTGCGGCCTGTGTCACTGGTGAGAAACACCCAAGACCAAGGGCCCCTCCCACCCTCGTCCTCCTCCCCGGCGACTGTCGGTCAGCTGCTCACACTGACGGTGACGACAGGAGAGGGCTTGGGGCGCCACCCTTCCCTGCCTCGCCTGCTGCCTCTGGAGCCGAGGAGTGACCTAGACAATGGGTCCAGTTCTGTGTCCATCTACACTGTTCCGGTAACTCAGGATAACTGTGCACACGACCTGGGAACCGCAGCGTGCAGTCGCCGGGTCTCCGCACGCCAGCCTGGTGTTCTGATGTTAGCACTGGGAACACATTGTGCAGCACACTGCGGAAGGCAAAATCCATGCGAGACATTTAAATTTAATTTCTCTTAGAACGACACCAAGCAGCAAGCGAACACACTGTGAAGCGAACAGGCAGAGACCGCAGGAAGGCGGAGTGTGCATTCTGGCCCTCAAAGTGGTCATCAGGCCGGGGACCCCGGCTCTGGGAGCGGAGCATGTGTGGGGTCAGGCTCGCCCCCACTGCGGGCGTGCAGGCTTCATTCGCTGGCTGGGTCCCCATTGCGGTCCCCACCCCCCAGGTGCCTCACCCTTCCCCCAGGTGTCATCACCAGCTGTGGTCCTCCTGGGTCCCAGCAGTGTGTCCCGGGGAGCCTGTGTGTCCCCCTACTCTGGAGCTTCACCTTCAACACCCCATCTTTCGCTTGGGCACTGGCTGGGGATGCACAGGTCCTGGGCTATCTCCAGGCAGGCTGTGTTGCTGGGCCGTGCGACTGAAGTCCCCCTCCTAGGTGCATTTGGGACTTTGGTGAGTGACACCGAGCCGGTGTTTAGGGGTGGGGGACAGGATGAGCCCTTCCTGGTTCGCAGCGACCCCTCTGCTGTGTGCTGGTGGTGCTCTGCTCTCCCATGGCATGATGCCCAGCAAAACGCTGGGGTACTGAGCGCAGGAGTCAGGCCCTCCATACGCTATGCCTAGGCCCAGGCGAGGTGGGACCTCAGGATCAATACAAATCTACGGGCTTGAAATAAGAAGAATCCGAAAGCAAACAGAAGAACAGGAGCCCCGGTGGGCGGGGCAGGAGCAGCAGAGGCCATGGCTCATCGGGCCCCACCCTGGGAAGGTCCTGGGGTGCATCAGACCAGCAGCACATGATGGTGGGGCCTCCACCTGTACAGCAGCACAGCCCCTGTGGAAGGACACCACAGCTCAGAGGGGCTCCCTATGACAGCCGCCTCTTGTAGTTCTGCCTCAGGGGTTCAGAGAGTTCTGTTTCTGAACAAGGGTGCGGGTCCCAGTGGCCTTCCTCTTATCATGTAGGATATTTAATTCTTGTACCAGTTTATGGTAGGCAGAGTCGTAAGACGGCCCCAGTACTTCCCCTGCTGCATCTGCCCGGGGTAGCTCCCTCCCCGGAGTGCGGGGGAGACTCTGAAAGCCCCGCAGGGCAGAGAAGAATTTGCAGGTGTCATTAGGCTGCTCATCAGCTGCCTTGGAGGTCCTGGAAAGGGAGGCTGGTGGGTGGTGGCCAGACGGAAGTCACAGGAACCAGAATCAGAGACAGGAGAGCAGCAACACCGCTCCTGCTGGGCTGGATGGAGCCACGCGTGACCCGCTGCAGGGCCAGGAGGCAGGGGCTGTCGGTGGCCTCCACAGGTGAGTGGCCCCAGCTGACCGCCACCAAGAAATGGGACCTCAGATGTGCAGATGCCAAAAGATGGACATCTATGGCCCATGACCCAAAGGAGCCGGCTGAGACCTCAGGAAAGCAGCTGGGCCACATCTTGATCTTGTCCTGTGAGTCATGAGCAGAGAGCCCGGCTGCACTGCTGAGAGCCCTTTGGTGCTATACTGATAAACTGAGTGCTGGTTAAGCTTCTCTGTAACGGTGGATAACTATTAAAGCAGCAATACAAATCTACGGGCTTGAAATAAGAAGAATCCGACAGCAAACAGAAGAACGTGAAACAAATCATCAGTCTGTCTAGACATGACCATTGTTGGGATTTTGCTGAGTAGACTTCCAAAAATTGTAATTTTCTGTCTCTATATAACGGCTTTCTTGTGCTATACTTAGCCTGCAATAAGCTGCGTATTCTAAAACTGCGATTTGGTAAGTCATGACATGTACTCTGCCTGCACAGCCTGCCCCACCACCAGGAAGACGCCCACCCGCACCCCAGCCTTCTGCTCCCAGCCCTGGGCAGCCGCCATGCCCTCCTCCTGTCTGTACCTGCAGTCCTCGCCCGTGGGAACACAGAGCACAGAAGCCTTTCTTTCTTCGCTCCTCAGGCTTGCTCAGGTCTCCACGCTGGACGGTCTCTGGCGGCATCTTCCCATGGGTCATCTCTCTGCATCTGTGTCAGCTCTTCCTTGAGTCCCACACACTGGGCTTCTCACCTCAGACACTGTGGTCTTAATTTCTGCAGCCCGATCTGGGTCCTTTAAAGTCTCTTCTGCTCTAGGCCCCGTGCACCTTCTTACCCAGCCCCTCGGATGCTGGGATGAAGTGATGACTGCCTGGTGTCCTGGTCCAGGTGGTCTCTCTCTCACCACACACACTGCCAGTGTCATCTGGAATTTTCCATCAGGATGGGTCACATTTTCCTGCTTCTTGGCCCGCCTGGTGGCTTTAAGTGGGATCCAGACCCGTGACTCTTACCTTGCTGAGTGTCAAGGGTCCATGAAGACCCGAGTCCCTCACACAGGTCTGCACCATCCCCGCCAAACATCAAGGCCCTGCGTGCGACCTGGCATTGGCCGGGGCATGGCTGTCTCCTCCCTGGTCCTCTGTGCTGTGAACCCAGCTGCCCACTCAGACGCCACCTTCTCAGCCCCGCTGTGAGACGCTGTCTGGGGCAGGCGGGCACTGGCCGTGCTCGTCGGGCTTTGGTTTTGGTTTCTCTGGCACAACGTCCTGTCTCCTCGTCTCCAGAGCCTCTTTCCTGTGCTTTGTCTGTTTACGTGTTGGTTCAGATGGAGGGGAACTCTGGATCCTGTTGTTCTACCTCAGCCAGAAGGAAAAATATGGATATGTATTTTGGAAACGATGGCATAAAACCTGGTTTTGTGTTCTGAAATGATCACTGTGTTGGAAATTTTAATTTGGATCCCAAAAGGATCAAAGGGCTGAGTGATCCCCCACGGCCAGGCCGAGGCAAGGACGTGCCTGCCGGTACCTGGGGAGCAGCATCAGCTCCAGCAGTAAGGGTCCCGGGTGTGTGCGGGGGACCGTGTAGTCAGATTTTCATCACTGTGGCCTTACCTGGGAAAATCAGCGCGGAGGTGGAAAGGTTTATTCAGACTCGCGGTTTCAGAGGCTCAGCGCCCGTGAGCCGGTTCCATTGCCGTGGCCTGAGGGGAGGCAGGAGCAGCATGGCGGAGGCGGGCAGGCAGGGCTGCTCACCTCATGATGGCCAGGAAGGGGACAGAGGGGAAACGGCCAGAGAGGCCGGGGCTGGGGACCGGATCCAGCCCCCAGTTCGTGCCCCCACGAACCCAGGCCCCCCCATTGCCATCCCCCGACCCTGGCCTGGGATTGCAATCTCACCGTGGATTAGTCTATCCACAGAACTGTAGCCCTCCAATCCGGTCACTTCCCACAGCCCTCGGCACAGTGAACTTCTGGGGACATCTGTGACCCCAGTCCTAGCAGGTGTGCCCCAGATGGTGGATGCGCCCCACCAAGGAGCTCAGGTGATAGGCAGGGTCTGCCCGAAGTGGCTGCTGTGACGGCAAAGACATCCACAGTGCTTGTAGGTCTTAGCTACACTCTCACACTGACTCTTACTATTGAGCTCCAACAACTCCAAAATAGTTTTCTAACTTCCCAGAAGATCTTCTCTAGGGCTCCCGTGGGGACAGCACGTGGCAGTCACAGTCTGTTCTCAGGAGCCCAAGGGCCCTCCCCTCCTTCCCGTGTCCCCTGGGCCCTCTCTCCTGCCACCCGTCCTCGAGGACACCTCACTGCCAAACCTGCCTCCTGGATGGGATGACCTTGTAGCTCAGACTCGTGTACCCCTGGCTGGCCAATGCCAGTCCCCACACTGGGGCCCTCCTTCTCATGGACTGATGTCCAACATTTCCCTCTGAGCGTCTTAAAGCCATCACCAAACCAAGCCCAGGTAAGATATAACAAAATGGGTTTTCAGAGGCTGCAGAGTGAAGGGCTTTGGGGCAGAGGTCCCCCGGCCAGGTGGGGGGACTGGCTAACAGGAGGGTAGGTGGCTAACAGGAGGTGGTGACATGGAGGGCAGCTGCCTGGGGCCGGCAGGGGCAGGTGACTCACAAAGAAGGGTTTGTGGCTGAGTCTGCAGGTCTCTGGCCCTTTCTGGGCAGCCCAAGCCAGGGGGTAACCTGGCACTCTGGAGCCCAAGAGCTTCTGGTGCCCAATGCAGAGTGCAGTAGGCACGCAGCTCCCGGCTCACTGGTCAGAGCAGCACGTGCTCCTTGCACAGCCCCAGGCTTCCCTGGGCACACTTGTGACCCTCGTGAGGACCCTCAGTCACAGACAGACCGGGCCGGGGAGCACTAGACCAGAGGGGCGGGGATGGAAGAGGACTGGACAGAGTCCGCATCCTCAGGGAACCCCTGGGTCAGAGGGGCTCCTGGGAGGTGTCGGGGGTACAAAGCTTCACACTGGGATTTGTCAGGTCTGAGGTCCCAGGGACCCCGCGGGTGACCCAACCCTCAGTGAACGCCATCCTGTGTGAGTGAGCAGGGAAAAGAAGAAAAGCCCAGAGACCTGGTATCTCAGAGTGCCATGCTGGCAGGAAATGAGGTGGGCGTGGAGACACACCGCTCACCCATAACTAGGACAGGGGACAGCACGTGGCCACTGAGGGCCGCCGGCAGAGGCCACTGAGGACTGGGGGTGGAGTCTACGTGTGAGGCGGGCAGCCACAGGCCTGCTGGGGGGCTGCAGCCCAAGCAGGTCCCGGATGGGAGGATGGTGCTGGAGAGATGGGTAGGTCAGGGCTGCACAGCCTCAGGATGGTCAGGTGGGGCCACGGACTTGAGTCTCAGCACCACTGAGATGCTAGGGCCTTGGAGAGGTGGGGTCGCTTGCCCTCATCTCTGTTTCCTCAAAGCTCTCTCTGTGGCAAGGGTGGGGCGGAGACGGGGCAGGTGGACTGTTTTGCCCTGAGCTCCGGTGGGCTGTCTGCTCCCCAGAGTGAGCCTGTCTGTCCCTTGCTCTGCAGAGGAGCACTGTGCCCTTGCAGTGCACAGGGCTGAGATGAGCTCGCGGGGTAAAGCTCAGGAGCCGCAGACCCAGACAGCAGAGACAGCGCAGAGCCCCTCCACCGCTTCCAGAGGAGCCTCGCTCGCGTGCCCACCTTGGAGCTGAGCTCTGCGGTGTCCACGGGGCCTTGCACGGTCACTGCCCGCACCAGTGGAGGCCCAGTGCCGCGCAGCAGAGCAGAGCTGGGCTCCGGGTCCACAGCGACTCACTAAGCCACAACCACAACAATACTCAACTTGCATTATTTAAAAATCAATACGATGTGCTAATTTAGAAATAAAAGGAACACATTTCTATAATAAACACCCATAAAACACTACCCTAAAGATCATTACCCTACTAAATTTCCATTTGAGATATTGTATAATCACTTACACAACAGCAATAAAACCAAAAGAGGAAAATAAAATTTATTTCAGAAGACAAAATTCTGGCTGTGTTTCTGGGTTTTTCAGTGAATTTATTAGGATTGACAAAGATACTGTAACTACACCACTTACAAGCAGGAGAAAAAGTGAGCAGCTCACATATACGAGTTATTTAAATACTCTGCAGTTAGAGAGCATTATCCGGGAATTATAATACAAGCAATTTCCACTTGAGTCATTGAATAATCACATAATCGCAATAAAACTAAAAGAAAAATCAGAATTATTTTAATAGAGAGAAGAGTCTTGCTGTGGCTCTGGAACTCACAAGTTGGCTCAGGGGCAGGTAGGTCGCTGGGAGGTGTGAGGCCCTCCTGGGGTCAGCTGTGTGCACAGAGTGAGTGCGGACACAGGTGGAGGAGGGCGAGGGCCAGGGCCCTCAGAGGACAGACACCCAGGCAGCATCCTGTCCCGTTGTGGAATCGGGGGTGGACAGGTCCTCCTCCCAGGAGCTGCCGCATGGGACACTGGGGCCCTCCATGTCGGAGGAGCATGCAGCCAGGTCCGCGGCACCCTTGTCCCATGCGAGGCTGGGTCGAAGTGGCCTAAGCCATGGGCAGCGCCACAGGCCCAGGAGTTTGTGCTTTGGTGCAGCCACTGCAGCAGGTTGGGGACCCCACGGAGACTCACTCCTGGTTCTGAGCGTCTTGGCCCCTGCGCCCTGGGCATCACTAACCTGGCACTCCTGTTTCTTGGGCTCTGACCATCCTGCCAGCCTCGACCCCAAGGCAGTAGCATGGGGGAAGGAGCAGCAGGGCCTTGGCACACTTTGGACCCTTGGGCTTCTCCGCACAGTGCATCCCCCCGTGCGTTCTCTTTTCTCAAGCTGGGCAGAGGTCGCAGACAAAGGTGCTCCTGCCCACTCCCAGGAGGGGAGTTTTCCCACAGAAATAAGTGACAGCCAGGGCACTTCTCGGCCACTGGAGGACTTGGGCTTGCGTTCGTCTGTGTCCCACTCCACACGGTGGCTGAGCTCATCCTTTGCCTCAGCAGGGCCCACGCTCCAGATCAGGGCTCTACTGGACGCCCCTCCGGCTCCTTGGTGTGTGTCTTAGTCATTTGCTGTTGCTGAGACACAATACCTGACGCCTACAACTAAAAGGAGGAGACACGTATTGTGGCTCATGGCTCATAGAGGATTTGGCCCGCAGTTGGTGGCTTCGAGGCAGAGCAGCATGGCAGAGGGGCCTGGTGGAGGGGAGCTGCTCACAGCACCAGGGTCAGGAAGCAGAGAAGAGGAGGAGGAGCCAGGGAGGGCGATGCAGCCTTCCAGGCCACTCCCATGGTGGCGCCTCTTGCGAGCAGGCCACACCTCCTAACAGCAAGTCAGCTACAGGCCCCCACAATCCAACCGCCTTCCCAGAGCCCAGCCTGTGCATGAGAGAGGCTGTGGGCGCCGTCTAGATCTAAACCATAACAATGCAGGTGGGGCTGTGCCAGTCCCAGGGCTGTGGCCCCGCTGTGGCCCCTATCCTGCCTGTACTTCTCTGACTATGGCCAAGCCTTCCCGTGTGAGGCTCTGCGGAGAGCAGAGAGGCCAGCAATCTCATCTCCTGTGGCTGATTCCTCTCCACAAGTTTGTAAGTCGGTGTCTAACTGGACCGCACCAGTGTGGGTTCCCAGAACCTTCGATTCACTTTCTTCGAGCTCTGTCTCTGATGTGTCCTGTGCAGTCCCCTCCCACGTGGTCTCCACCTCTTGTGCTCGGGGTCGACAAGGACCCAGCCCCCTCATTCCAGAGGTGCCTGCCTCACGCCACGGTGCCGCTGGGCTCCCAAAGGACCAGAAGTTTCCTGGAGCATCTGATGCTCTGCCCCAGGCTCCCATTCATCCTTGGAGTCCCCAGCACCTCTAGCGCCAGTGACTTGTGTCTTGTCTGACTGGATCTTTCAGGAGATGTCAGCCACTGGCACGAATTGCTTTAAACGCTGAGAACCGTGTTTTTGTTGGATTTTTCCTTTTTGAAAAGTGTCTATTTTACATTCAAGGAGAGAGGTGGCGCGTTCCCGGCCCATCTTGGCCTCCTGTTCCCGCACTGCTAAAGCTGGCTTCCCCTGGGGCGACACCTGGCTGACAAGTTTGCTCTCAGCTCAGCTCAGATCAGCTCTCCTTGTCTCTCGCCCAGTGGAGGGTGCTCCAGGCTGCCTGCCTCTGCGGGAAGAGGGTCTCAGGTGACACCTCCTGCAGCAGTCAGGATCCTGAGGTTGCCTGGCTGCTCTGCAGCCCCATCCCACCTGGCACAGCACCCTAAGGACCAGTGAGACCCAGAGCATCACAGGCCCTTGGGTCCCCAGGACCCTGCTCTTCACATCAGACAGGTGGGTGTGGACAGCATCCCACTTGGAGCCACACCAGTGCTGGTGCACGCAGCCCCGGAGGCGGAGCGGAGCCAAGCACTGCGAACACTAGCAACGCCCTTGGGCTGTCCTTGCATCCCACGCTCCCCATTCAGAGCAAGGACACCGCCCCTGAAAAGGCGGGCAGAACTTTTACTTCCTCCCATCTTCCTCCTTCTGACTGCAGAGGCCCTGGGCCTCCTGTCCCTTGGCCAGGACAAAGCTGGAGGCCATCCCTGCAGTATCCCCAAAGCTGTCTCACAGGACAGAACCTTGCTTTGGAACTCACCCTGGGAGAAGCTGACCCCGCAAGCCAGGGCAGCCTCTGCCGCCACCATCGGACCCTGCACGCTGCTCCCCGGCCCCCAAGCCTGTGCCCCTCCCCCTGACAGCAGCAGACTTGGTTTACCCTTAATGCTGGCTCCTGTGCTCTTAGAGCCTTCCTGCCAGTGCCACCCCAAGCAAAATGGACCAGGACCCTCCCTGCTCTCTCAAACACAAGAGAACTT